TTAGTGGTTTTACCAGAAAAATCATGTGATGATTGTATAGGGGAAACTAATTCACTGCCTTAATGCCTCTACAACTTACATAAATGACTAATATTGCTCCTCATGTGAGCAGACTTTGCCATAAAAATTGTGGTTCAGGAGGCTGCATGACGCTGCTCAATGCACTGCTATTTTAACTCTGAACTGACCGTGTGATGACAGTTCCTCTAGTGCGGGGAAGTGGGGTGGGGTCCCAAACTGGATTATCATGTTGATTATATGGTGACTGTGCAGTCACGTCACTGCATTGTGATCTTTAACAATTGAGTCTTTTGTCTGCAGAGGGGTGATGCATGAGTGGAAATCTTAGATAAAGACTTCTGTGCATTGTACATGGAGACATCCAGAACAGCAACAGTTACGTCTGTGTTAAATGTGGATTATAATTGAATTATGCCTTCACTCTGCCTAATAAAAACCCATCAAGGATGCGTATCATTTGGCATGGCTCTGAGTAAATTAGCTTTTGATTGCTTGGGCAGGCTTCCAGCCAAAGCAAATGCTTCAGGTTTGATGGACATGCCAGCATGTTGCAGCTGTTAGCTGGTTTCCAGGCAGACAAGTACCAGGATAGATTGCGGTCAACCGCTGACTGAAAACCCAAAGCCTACGACTGCACTAGCAGCTCAGTTCAGGAACTGCAGGGCATCCCAAAAGCTCAAACCCTTTCGTAGTCCGCTCTCTGCCTGCGTCACCGTCAGCCCTGCTGGGATTCCCCCGTGGCTCCGGCCCAAGCAGTGAAGTCAATTTTCCTGCATTTTTTGGCAGGATAACAGAGTTCAACCCCCACGTGCCGAACAGGCCCTTCAGAAATGTAGCTTTTGGCACAGGAACAGCTGAAAACCAGCCAAGCCACGCTGCTTCCCGCTCCTTTAATGGCAGGGAAACGTGTGGTGTGGGCACACATCACTCACTTTGACTGATACAATTTAGGCTGATATTTACAGGTGGGCTATTGCTGAAACATTCAAGTGACACAATAGGCCTTAAGGCAACGCCCACGCTCTTATAAGATAACATAAAAACAGCCTTTACATTCCTGTGAAGGATTATAGTTTGACAATGAGACAGCAAACTGGTGTCAGACCTGTCGGTCTTGTCTTTGCATGTTTGTCGGTCATTAATTTACAGCCACTAACCAGTTTAGTGGCCAACTGCTAGCGACTGCCGCTCATTCTGCCTCGATACTCGGAGGCTAACTGAAGAGGCTACTTGCATATTACACTTGCTGCTTAAACATCCCCGGGCTGAGATTAGGTGTGTGTGGATTTCTGCTTGTAAAAGTTGAAATATAAGGAGGCCTGTTTGCATCTTTATGTGTACATTGATCAAACAGAACTCTAGATCTAAATGGGATGATAAGTCCTCATACACAGACTTTTGTGTTAACATGAGTTGCATTCAACACAGTCACATCAAACACTTGATTAGAGAAAAGGCCACAGGGACCAGTTTATATGTCAAGAGAAGGAACTGTTCCAGTAAGCAAGAGCACACAACACCAAAACAACAAGACAAAATTACAAATACACACCAAAGCTTTGAGAGGACAGGCATGGCCGATTGCCAAGCAGCAACACGTATGTCAGCTATGGCAAGACTGACGTCAAGCTGATATTTGGTTTTCATTAAATGTGCACATCTGACATGATGAGAGACTGAAAAAAATAATAATCTGGAAGGCAACAAATTAGAATCAAATTAGGGCTGCAACTAATACTTATTTTCATGATGAATTTATCTTTCTTTCTTTTTTAAAACTATCCATAAATTAAGCTTCTAAGCTTTATAAAAAAAAAAAAATTGTAAAACTGAAAAAAGTAGTTAATCCTCACATTGGAAAAGCTGAAGTCAGCGAGTGTTGGGGGTTTTAGCTTGATAAATGATTGGTGGTGATTGATTAGTAAAATGATTTTCAATTGGTTTTATGATGACCAACTGTTTCAACACTGCATTGGGTTTCTATAAATGTAATCTTTTTGAATAAATGAATAGATTTGTTTTTCTACAGCACATTTTCAGTTACTTTCTAGTAATGTGTCAACTGTGAAGCCTTTTCCTTGAGGCAAAACGTAAGATATTAAGATAGTTATAACAATCTAAAATGTTTGCAAGATGACCAAGTTGTGGGCATTTCTATACACTGAAACAGACCAATCAATTTAGAAGCCTGCATTACATGATTACGGCAGCCTTTCAGCCTGCAAAGACACAGTAGTCAGGCTATAACGTCATGGTTTAATAACCAAAGTCCTACAATATGTGGAACCACAATATAAATATTATATTGACATATAGCCAAGTCAAGGTCTGCCACTTTTTCAACCCCTCCCTTTGATAGGAAACTACAGAGTCTCTACAGAAATACAACACATGCGTCCATCAGATCTTCGCATCAAGAGCAACAACAAGTGTCTTTATGTAGACCTAGTTTCATAAAAAGGAGTGTTACTTATTATGTACAGCCTGCATTATGCAAAAGCAAAGGGAGGCCTTTTAAGACCTGAACTTTTTCGCCGGCCATACGTTTCTAATCTACAATGAGCCAATCACAATGTAAACACCGCCCTCCACTCGCTTGCTGCAGCAGTATTTCTCTCCATTGGAAACACGGAGCTGGTGCAGTTATGGCCCCAGGTTACCATATGCCAGATTGGACCGAAATGATTAGTGGGACAATTAATGGTCAAGCCTGTGTAGTGATTGGAGGATGGTGGGGTGCAGGGTGCGAAAAGGGCCTGAAAGAATTTCAGTGCTTAATAATCACATTGGAAAGCAGCAGGTGCCACAATTTGTTTTATTTTTTTCAACCACAATTTTTCGGGTCCAGTGTGATGAAATCACAACGGCAAACGATGGCTGGTTTCCTGCCAAAGTGGCCGGTTACATAAGAAACAAGGAGCAGCAAAACCCGACCAGGAAACCTTTCTCCAGGAAAATCGAAAAGAAAACTTTTCTCCATCGTGCTCCTGTCGACCAGATTTCTGGTGCAGGTTTCCAGGTTTCAAAATCTCATCTACATTTCATTACTGTGTTCCTGTCATCTCAGTTTCATATGAAACTGATGGGCACAATATATTGTATTCTTGTGATAAAAAGGCTGTGTTGTTTTTAAACTACTATACGTTATTCTTCTTTCAAGTTCTCATCGTGACGAGGTGGGAAAGCCTCCGAAACCACATTTAGATGAGACCAGAACAATGAAACTATCCACTGAAACCAGACTTTCCAACTGCTTTCACAACATATATGTTTTAGGTCATTCAGACAAAGTACTATACGAGGCTTTAAAGCCAAACCAGCTTCCTGTGCATGCGCTGCCCCAACCCCCACTACTTGGTGAGAAACTATCTAACACCAATCACAAAAAAAACAGTCTGGTTTGGTTGTGGCTGTAAGGTTTGTTGGCTTGGCTTATCCTACCAGACTGAAACACAGAGTAAGAAGACATACTGAGCCCTTTTTGAATCCCACCACCCAGCTGTAGTACTGAAAGCAGCTCATTGTGTCCATATCACTGCCCTGACATGTCGGACTTGTCTTGATCTCAGCCACTATCAGATGCTGACAGACTCCTCTATCCACCGAATCCACCTTTGCCATGCACTTCCACAGAAATAACAACGTCTGAGAAGGATTTCACCTCAGCTCTTGAACAGGCTGACATTTTGGGTGTACCTCTTCCTTGGAAAATACTGCCCTGCCAAAAACCAACATTACCACAACATTACCACTCTGCAGTGGTGGAAGAAGTACTCAGATATATTATTCAATAAAACTAGCAAAACAGCAGTGAATAAATACTCTGTTGTAAGTAAAAGTCATGCGAGTATTAGAATCAAAATATATCGAAATTACCAAAAGGAAAAGTAGGCTACTCATTATGCAGAACAGTTGTTTCAGAATAATACATCTATTTTAATTGGATCACAATTATTGATGCATTTATATGTAAGCATCACTTAAATGTAAAGGTTGGGCCACATTTTATCAAATGTATATATCACTGGGTTTCTTAATAACCTACAATAATAAATCATAACTCATATATATATTTATTTTTTCATAACTAACTATTCAGAATCTGAAACCAGTAACTACAGCTCAAATACATGGAGTAGTATAAAAGTAAAGTAGCCTACAAGTACTTTTTTTTTTACTATTAATGCCAGGATCAACAGCCTAAACAGCAGCTTCAAATCCATTCATAAAGCCAACTTCATCCCTGAATCAGCTCACTGTTTCTGCTGTGAACGCCAACATGACATTTTACGCACCAAACTGTCACATGAACTGGCTTTTTATCATCCACGTTGAGGGCGATGGGATGTAATGACGTGAAAGGATGTTTAATGACGTTGTAAAAAATAAATAAAAATGGTGGGTTCAAATTCTACAGGACGTGCTGCAACCATGAGCATTTAAATCATTTTAAAATCATTGTAATTAGCAATTGTTGATATTTTAAAAAGCAAACCCATTAGCAGTTGGTTTATCCCTTATTCGCCTCTAGCTAGCGCACCCGGTAATACTGTCAATAATCCGCTTTTATTAACTCAAGTAGCCAAGTTATGGTGTTACATTTGTGACAGTATTTTAGATTGAGCATGACATCAAGCGAACAATCCGACCGTTGAACAGTTTAGTAACTGACAGTAACGTTTAATACGCCACTCTGGATTCGGTAAAAACAACTCGGTGTAACCGCCAGAAAACCTTTAAATAAAGTGAAACACCAGCTGTGCCAGTACACTACATTACGTTCGTCGTGTGACAATAGGCAGGTGAGTGCATCCGCTACTTTAACAATAAGGTACACTATCGATTAAAAAAAGCTGCGTCCTGTATGTGACGAGTGAACACAGAGAGAAGCGGCAGAAAGAAGGAAGCCACGCGAACGACAATGATACATTAGGCTACAAAACAACGCAAATGAAAAATAAAGAGAAATATAAACTTACCACGTCGGCTTCCGTTTGTTTTTTACACTCTTTGGAACCGGAAAAAAGCATTCCTGTTTTCCCCGATTCTGAATCCAGTCTCCCCCCCTTCGGTTACACACTGAGCAAAAAACACCAAGAAGAGGAAGAGGAAAGGTGGCTCGTGTGTTTTTCAGCTGCAAATGAAGTGTTTTCATATGACTGCATGATATCCACGCATTCGGCTTTTGCGTGTGATTGTGTTTTCAGAGTTTGAGAACCCGCAACGTTCAGTCAGACAGCCCGGAGAGGCGTGGAGAGATTCTCCGGTCAGCACAGTCAGATCATTGGTTGACAAACAATAATCAGATACAAATTCCTAACCTCCCCCCTCATACCCCCCACTATACACACACACACACATACACACACACATACACGCACACACACATACACACACAGCAGGGGATGTCCGTAAATGCAAAGGTGTGAACGGGTGTGAATTAAAAAGTGGGCTTGCAGTGGCGAAAATAGGTGGAGATGCAGTGTTAGAGGCCCCCCACACACCCGTTTGTACGGATTGTTGGCAAAAATATATAAAATATATGTTCCCAACAAGTGTGTCACAAGATTATTAAGGCAACAACAATGAAAAGGAGCAGTTTCGCAATTTATTAGAGCTGAAATGTTTTAGTTGATAAAAAAACGACATTAACTATTTTGACAACGGATTAATCATCAATGTGAAAATCATTTTGTTGATGTGTGTAAAGAATGTGAAATAATCTGTAAAATGTCCAGTTTCTCAATTGTCAGGATTTTGGTCAGACACAAATTGTTCCCTATTTCCTGACATCATAGACCAATGCATTAATTGATTACGCAGCAAAATCATCTACAGATCTATCGATAAGGAAAGTAGCCGTTAGTTGCAGCCCTACAATTATTCGTAGTTTATTTATTTCCTTTTCTCTAATTTAAAATTTTTGTTTATTCTTAAGAAATACTTTCACCTCTTCGGGCCTCTAAACATTCGAGAAAAAATCGAGAAAAGAAGTCTGCAATATACATATTTTTATATTTCTGTTCAATGTAAATCACTGTCATGGAACTGGTGGTATAATTGTGTATTGTATTTACATTTTCTCTCAGTGTTGTTTTTTGGTGACGGTCCCTTGGTGGAGAGCCCCTGTTCAACTGAATGGATTATTTCTGTTTGGTATGAAAACTGCTTAAACCAGTCTGAAAAGTAAAGCACCACTCAGTTAATTGCATTAAACAAGCCTTTAGTATTACAGACTTTTAATGTTATGCTTTATTTTGTTTAACATAAACGGTGTCATTTAATTTCAGAAAGCTTCACAACATTCATTTTGAGAATATGAAGGTGGAAAAGTGATTTATTTAGTTGAGGGGAACTCACCTGAACACAACAGAATGTCAAAAAGCTCTCACAACTGCTGGTACGGATGTTTATCAAAGTGAAACAATTAAAACCTGCTTTAAATACTAAAAAAAAAAGTCAACACATTTTATGTATGAGTTGATTTGGTGGCAAATGAGTTTCCCCACTAAGGATTAATAAAGCCTTTCTAATCTTATTATAGTTCAAAAATTTAAAACTGCTCGGAGAACCTTTAGCAGGAAATACGTGTTCAGAACATCTGTAATACAACAAAAACTATACAATTAAATTAGCCATTTTCCAGCTTAATCAAGGTAAGCCTGAATTTAGGTGTCACATATATGTGAAACACAAGGACTAGATATATATTTTACAGTGGTAAAAACAAAGTAAACAAAGGATCCATCCATTCATAGAACATTTTGAAAACATTCAGCCACAAGTTAAATAAACTCACTGCTGGAAATGGTCCTTTCTCTCCTCAGCACCGCCAACTGTTGACAGCTTCCTTGCTGATTTTACAGTTGGAGTGTTCACTGGTCGGTAGTTGGTTGCAGCTGCTTACTAAAATGAAGAGCTTGAGATATTTGAAACTGAAAAATGATCCTCCCGCTGCCTCATCAGATGAAGTGTCATCCAAGAGAAGAAGTGTGTTCGGATTTTCAGTCTTGATATCAAAATAATCAAACGCTGACTGATGAAATATACCACTAATATGTTGAGCAATGGAATAATAAGAAAAATAGGTGACGGAAGTTTAAGTGACCACAACAAAGTGCAGAACATAAATGAGTACATATTACATCATGTGTGCTACCTATTGTTCATTTCTACTGCTACAAGTACTACAAGTATTCTTAGTGAGACCATGGTATTCTTACTGTACTCACATAAACAGAAAAGGCCCACTTCACTGCATGTTGAGTTGTCCTATTTCCATGTAAATACGTAGTGTTTGACATGCAAATATTAAAATAGTTTGTTCTGTATATTTAAAGAAGCCTCTTCTAAACACTTCTCTTATCTGATACACGTGTTCACAACACAATGCATTTGATTCATTTGTTTTCTTGAAATGACAATGATTAATAAATCTATATGATCATAAATTTGAATGTTTCAGTTCATGCTATCGAGCCAAATCCCTCTGAATATTTTGGTTTGAACTTAAAACTTTTAAAAAACACTTTTTTTTAGGGTGTACACAAAATCAACACATCACAAAAAAAGACTTAAAGGAGACACATGAAGCTCATTTCCAGGATCATACTCGTTTCCACGCTTTAATGTTCAAACTCTCTATATTTGTCTCACACGGTCAGTCTGATAGCTGTGTGCGCCATTTGTCTGAAACACTCCTTTTTAGGGCATTTTAATGGAATTGTGTTGCTAGGCGACAGCTAGGGTCCATGTTCACTTCCTGTCAGCTGACTTCATGCACAAACACTTTCAACTGGAAATGAACGGAGGCACATTTAGAGTTGTTACGTTTAGTACTATGAGATGGTCTGTATTTTGTGATGTTACAACTGAAAGGAAATCCTGAACGATTGAAAGATCTCCATCTCGTTGGCCATTTAAATGTGCACAACACGGGGCCTTAAGAGAGGAAGCCAGCTGGATATCAATTAGCAGTATCTTTTTTAGCTCCACCTAAAATAACTACAACAGCGTCATAATAATCTAATGACATAATCTAATATTAGTATAGCAGTCACTGCATTGAGTATGTTTACTTTAATTACATATTCAATGCAGAATGTACAATGTACACTTTCCTGAATATACTTATATACTTTTAATAACATAACATTTTCAAAGCAGGACTTGTGGTATTAGTACTTTTACTGTAGTAAAGCATCTGAATACGTCCTCCACCACTGGTAATGGCCCATATTTCTTTGTACTTGTACGCCATCTAGTGGAAGTCCACTACTCTAGAAACGTATTTCAAATAGTTAGAGAGGATCATGTGTTAATATTCACTCAACAATCTTTCTAAAAATAAAGCACTCAGGTATAGTTTACCATTTTTAGCCTAAATTCTTCAACTAATTTGTGTCACTGGTACTTCTATTTCATATTTTGTATCGTGGTCATCGCTTGATTAAAAAAATACGTGTTGAGTTGCATGTTTTAGACTTGAATGTTGCAGTTTAGCCTCATTGCATAAAAAGGTTTATGTTCATAAAACAGAGACCTTCTGCAGTTGTCCCAATTGGCTGTTAAATATAATATTTTAGGGTTTTCATCAAAGCATCCTGTTGACAAAACTTTTGATAGTTTCACGTTTCTAAAGGTGCACAGAGTCAGCCTGCAGAAGACGATACTTCACATCAACAAATATAGTGATGTGCTCAGGTGCCATTACCTGCATGTGCAGCGTCCTAACATTAATAAGACGAGCAAAAGGAAATGTGGTCACACGGCAGCTTCAGTAATCTAACATTTGGATGACAGCGAGTGATGAAAGGTAATGAGTACATTTACTACACATCAGTACAATTACATTAACCCAGTAGAAGTTTAAATAGAATAATAAAACACTCGAATATCACACTTTTACTTTTGATACTTCTGTACTTGAAAATCCGACAGAGCTTTCAGCATTTTGAAGTAAAAAGTAGACGAAGGAGAAGAGATATCTTAAACCCTTTAATAGATGCAATGATAATTATAAATACATACTGTAGCACACACATACAAGATATTTTAGTCTAGTGTATAAAGCTTTCAGACTATTTTATGCTTTTTTAATCCATATGTTGGCACAGGTCAATCATCTGAGTTCATGTTTTTTAAAGCACAACTACGTCTACGTGTATTTAAAAAGCCCATCTTGAAGAAAGTATACAGTACACAGAAAATGACACCATGCGAGATAAACAACGTGACATTCAGAGTGACAAGTTGAGAGCCTGAGAAATTGGATTTCCACACAAACAAACACACAAACTTTGGTTGTTGACAAAATGTAGCAACAGGTCAAGTTTTGTTACACTACCAATGATTTTCTGTTGGTTTCGCAAATCCAGGCAAGTAGAAATGTAGAAAAACAACAACATATAAACTTGTATTCATAAGGCAGAAGAGCTGTTCCGGGGTTGTAAATGTTCCTATTGAGATGAAACATACCCGATAGTCAAAACTTAGCAGGTTTTTGCCATCAAAACACCTTAAATGTGGTTATTTTTCATCCAATGTAACACATCTACTGCACATACAGTATACCGTTAAACCATACAACACTATGTAAAAAAAGAGGCTTTAAAAGAGGAAGTTGTGTGTTTTGTGTGAACTGAGTGAGCACTGTGCATGATGTAAGAAACACATGAATAAATCTAGAAGTGCAAGGCTGACCATTGCTGAAGTAACATTTACACTTCGGCTACACTAGTGTGCAGTGAAAGCAGTACAGAGGGTCCGCTCAGCCTCAGTGCTGCCACACAAAACTTACACTAAAGTACACATCGTGTACACATCGTGTACTTTAGCTTGTAAGTTGGCAAAGAAAACGACTGAGTGGTTCCTGGAAGGACCCAGACAGTTTGGTTGGTTAAAATGTATCTTTCAGATGATTCAGGTGTAGACGAGGTGATGAGACCGGACGAAGCCAGCAGAGAGAAAACCCCAAAGAAATTGTACCTTAAGGAGTTTTCTCCTTCCCGAGCATACCAACAGACATTTACTTCTTTACCTACGATGAGACATGTCTGTGCATATAATGTAGAGAGATTATTATATTCATGCTTCACACCTCACCACTTACACAAGTCCTACAGGCTAACCCTTCAGGCAGTGATGCATTTCCTGATGCACTCCTCCGTTTTAGCACTTCGCAAAATGTCATTCGTCATTAGCAACACAGAGCTAAGAGCTGGTTTCAATTCTATTTTCCATTACAGCATAAGGGGGGGTGTTCCCATTACCACGAATACTAAAAAGTCATATTTAAACTTAATGATATGTGGAATTCTATCATATGCACCATAAAAAGGCACAGCGTGGATGAACTGTTTATAACCTGTTTACACTCTCTGCCTTAACTTAAAGCTCATAAATTAACTTTGACATAATGCTTTCACAACGCTCATGACAATCTGTTTTTGTATGAACTGAGTTAACTTAAAACCTGTTAAAATTAGCTAAATCAGAAGGGTTATCCTCAAAGCAAGGCCCGTTGTACTTTGTTAGCCTGATGTACACGTGCTGAGCTGTACTTTGAGCTGAACGCTAACATGCTAACAGTCAGCATGCTTACATGCTACCGTTTGTATGAGTGTGTTTACATACGGGGGGGGGGGGGGGTCACTGAACTCTGACGTGTTTATGGGTGAAATGAATGGAAAATTTCCTACAGAAACCAGGGACCAACTAGAGAAGAAAAGGCATTTTCCAGCTGTATTCTTTACCGACACAACACATACAGAATTATCTACATTCCTCAGAGCTCCTGCCTGCAGCACAGCTGTGCGGAGGAAACAGGGAAACATGGCGTGGACCTTATCTCAGCTCATCTGCTCCAAGTAGGCCGACAGCAGAAGTGTAGGAGGTAAAAACGCTTCTTGTTTGTTCACCACTTCTGTCTGTCGTGACCTGTTGTAGTCGGAGCCTGAGGGTCCAACCAACAAACGGGCTTTTATTACTCTCATGTGACTGGAAAACATTAAGCTGGCTCCGTAAGCAAGGTTTACACAGCAAGGCTGTGTAAACCGTATTATAAAAACAGAGAAGTAGCGTTAATTTCTATAAAAACATCTCGTTCAAAAAGCTTTTACACGACCACATACTGTTTGTGTGCTATGGTTATGTCTCAAAGCTTTTGATGCTCGATACAACTTAACTGATGTTTCCTGCCAATGTTTTCCCCCAAATATCACCTTTTATGTGCCAAGATGAGAAAGAAAAATCTAAATAACCCACCACAGATATTCAATAGTAGCCAAATATTACTGCCTTAAAATAGAGAGAATGATCTGCAATGCAGGCTGCACACAGATGGAAAAATCTGACTTTGACAAAATGTTGTCTAATGTTCAGATAATCATAATCTATATGTCTGTATGTGTTTGCACTCACTTGCAGAGACGAGGTCCATATACTGGCACACGGCATGGAGCAGCAGTCTCTCAAAGCTGATTGACAAACAACAGAAACATGACTTTCCACTCCTCAGTGTTCTCCAACGACATGCAGAAACAATCAACCAGTTTCCCAGCATAGATCAATAGAGCTCGTCTTTGTGTGTCTAACGCCAATTATTTGCGATTTTCTTCCCATCCTGTTGTTCTCCGACTCTTTGTGTGGATCATAAAGGTTTCGTGTAATTTAATATAATCTGCTTTTCCAGGTGAGGAAACTGCCAGAGCTTTGAGCCTGTATGTTTGTCAGGTGGTAGGGACACAAAAGTGTGTCAAACAAAAGGTTTGTAATACTATGAGGCAGGATTTCATATCATCTTCCATAATATAACTGTTGGAATCAGATATGTAGGGCTACTTAACAAAGAAATTAAATCTACTGTGTGTGGACTGGAGGTTAAAAAACAATTAATATTTCAATTTTAAACAATAGAAACTAATTAAATTCAACGTGGCTTTATTGGCATGAAAGATTATCGTATATAAAAACAAAGTATTGATATGTACTTGTTAAGACCTTTGTAGTATCACATAGAATTTAATACCTCAAAGTATGAAAGCATAACGGAGAATCAGAAGAGTTGATCCGGCCTCGGCTCGAATTATTTACTTTTATGTCACATTTTTTAGTACTTTCCTAGCAGAGTATAGCATGAATGACTAATGACGTAATTAATTACATACATGAGACCTGGACCCTGATAAGCACCGTAAGCTGGATAGATGAATGAACCAGTGAAAAAATATTCATTCATTTAAAGTTTTGGCTACACTAACACTCACTGACACTTTACCATTACGACACCACGAGCTTCCTTCTTGCAGCTAACAGCAGTAAAACTCCCACTTTTAGTTTATAGGTTTATAATGTCTGCCAACAGCCCAAAATCAGATACCAAAACATTTTACAACTAATATTAACAGTAAGACTTTTAATACTTTCTTAGGCTTTAAGACCTGCAGATATGCTGAATATGGAAAAAGGATTTCTACCTGCTGGCGAGGTTGGTTGTGTAAACTGAGTGAGGTTGATCGATGAAGAAGCTCAGAAGGTTTTCCTCAAGGACTTCCAGTTTTCCCTGTGAGGAGAAAAACAAAAAAAAGCAGGTGGAAGCTAAACGGTTCGATCTCCACCACGATCGTGTGTCCTCGAGCGTGGTTTGTGCTCGAGCCAAATACTGAACGTCTGCGGCTTCCTTGCTGAGTCAGCACGTCTCACTGTTTTCTAAAAAACCCAAACACAGCCGATGACGTACGGGTCAATTCGGAGGAGGAAAAAGAGACTTTTGCGATTGGTGACTTTGAGACAACAAGCTGAAGCCTCTGAGTTTGAAGCACAGCAGAGATGCAGGAGAGAGAAGTCAAACTACTGGGGTTAACACGTCCTCCACCAGTTATTATATCGCCATATGGTCAGAGCCCTGATTAGCAGCTTAGTCCTTTTGATCCAACTTTCACTGAAGCTCGATGCTGCTGTGGGGACCGGACCGCGTTCGTTGAAAAGATGTCACTCACCATGGGGATTTGTTTCCGTCTAAGAGTCGCTCGCAGCCTGCGATCGATTCTCTGGAAGCAGTCCTGAGCTGTGAAGGCAGGATTTACTGTGAAGACATTCGGTGACGTTCAGACTTACACTTAACAACCAGCTTACAGACGAGCACAGACTTGAGCCGCTCACCATTCCTCTCGTCTTTGAGGGGCCTGTTGGTGTTTTTCTTCTTGGCCACCTCCTGCTCCAGCAGAGACAGCAGCCTCTCCTGCTCCTCGCCGGAGCAATTCATGAAGTCGTTCCATGGCTAAAAGAACACGAGGAGGAGGAGTCGATTCATAAACTAATACTTGTTTTATTGGGTGCTTTTTAGATGTTATCAAGATTTGACCATCAATGTAAGACATGCTCTTAGTCTCTGGCATTTGTAAGAAGTTGAAAAGGTAAAACCTCCACCAAAACTCAAATGTCTTAAAACTTAAATAGTCTTAAGTGCTCGGAAGAAAAACAGTAGAGTCAAAACCAAGACTTGGTCTTGACTTGGTCTAACCCCTCAAAGTCCTGGTCTTGTCTCGGTACACTCTGGTCCCTGTCGTGACTCGGTTTAGGTGGTCTTGACTACAGCACTGCCTCGGGCCACTTCTGCAGCATTAATGAGCGGCAAAGCTTAAGCCCAGCTGAAGTCCACTCACCTCTATGTAGTTTCCGTTGGTGCAGGCTTCAGTGAAGATGGACGGGATCGCTGGGTTACTGCACACTTCCAGATCATCTTTGGAGCACTCGTCCCTCTCAAGAAGATTAGCAAGAAAGCGTGCTGGTTTTCAGAGAAGAAGAGAGAGAGATGGACAGTGTTGTTAAATATACGCAGAACATCATTGCCAGATCTATGGATTTAAAGTTTTAATTCTTGAGATAAAACAAAACATACTTTTGTAGTACTCTATTGGCATTTCTGAAGCAATAACCATTCAATGTAAATGCTTGTTTTTGTCCATTGTTGGCACACACACACACACACACAGGCTTGTCCGGCATTGTTCAGCCTGCAGTGGACTTCTATCTCGTCTTATAATAACAGCTTACTGTTCTCCTGTCGGCGGAGGCTCTTCTTGCCTTTGGCTCGGGGAATGAGGTCAGAGTTGCGGATGGCTTGGTTGATAAAGAAGTGCTTCTTTTTGGTGGGAGAGACTCGCTTGGCTGGAGAGCTGGGCAGGGAGCTGCATTTACGCTCCTCTATCAGGCTGAGAAGACAGACGACAAGAGGTCAATTTAGCCAATTAAGTCACACAAATCCTGAAGGGAAAGCAACCGCTCCGCAGATCATGTTCATTTGAATTGTCTCATGTTGTAGGGATGTCGAAAACTAACACTAATGATTCAGCTGTGGGTTATACGTTTTGGTAGACAGTGATAGCGACAGGCACAGCACAGGAGAGCATGCTTTTCATCAGTACACAAAATGTGGAAATAGACTTTTGTGTGACCTCATTTTCAGCCTTGAGGATTGGCACTGTTCTTGTTTTTTTCAGTCTGAGAATGCTCTTTGAATTGGACGTGCAGCATTTCAAAGTGTGACGGTGCAGTGTCTCGGGTATGAGGTGGACGTTGAGTAGTTTACTGTATTATTTATGAACTCCATGCAGTATATCGCCACAACATAATCTTAATTTGGCCGATTATCAAAGGAAAAGGAAAATATGCCAAACAGCCACAGTGGCTGTGAAAGGTGAAGATTATCACCAAGCTGCTAAAACAGTTGATGTTGCGTTGGATGGTTCTCTGTTGTACTGGCCTGCTTCTGTTTTATCACTGCTATATTGTCAAACGGATGAGAGGAGGAGCCTCCTGCAGGGGCTTCAAATGTAGGTCAGTGGGTGTTGCCATTTTTAGCCTGCAGGCTGTTAGCTACACCACAGCAACATGAGACATGTAACCTCTTCCTGCGTTAGTTAGGTTTGTTCACAAAGAGATTATACAATTTCACTTTGACATATAAACCTATAAACTTAGCTAACCTGGCTGTGGCATTAATAGATTTATTTTAGATATATGTACGTTTCTTTTCTGTAACTTAATCTTTATAAATTAGCAAGGTAACCTCTACATAATCTGAATAAGATGTGTTGTTGGGAGTGTCAAGAGCAAAGCGTGTCAGCTGATTTGTTGGAAGACCTGATTTCACAGACTGTACCACTAACAACATCAGCTCAGGTCAGCTAACGCTAGTTAACGGTTAGCGTTAGTTAACGTTAGCTACCAGCTGTTAAAGAAAGGCTAACAGAGACAGATAATTAAACCTGGCGGCCTGTTAAAACCTGAATCAACCAAAGTAGCACCATTAGCAAAGAGAGCTGGCACGGTTTCACATCTATAACAGTTCCCATCTGCAGACGTGATAAAACCAACTAACTGTTATTTAACTGGTAGTTGCAATTCAAGCTAACGCTAAGTAGCCTGCTAACGTTACATACTCGTAATTGTCACTCACATATAATCCTGTTCTTCATTGTCTGTCAAAACTACCATTTTAATCAAGTAAAACAAACGACAAACTGCTAAGCTCTGGATCTTAAAAAGAATAGAGAGAGTCGGGACTAAAGACTAAGGTTAACCGGTGAGTATGTCTGTCAGTTTATGTTGTGAGCAGCTAGCTCCTCCTCGGCTGCTGCTAGCTCGACACTGAACAAACAAAGAGGGAGGAACAGTGAGAGCTCCACTCTGTCTCCAGTTACACATTTTGTGTGTAATCGCAAGATATATCATTTACTTCTATTTTACACATTTTAGAGCATTTGTATTCTTTTAAATCAATCATTCATCTATATATCTTTATCTAAACATAGGATTTTATGTGTGATTCATTGTAAGATATTTTGACCAATCAATCAGTTGATTTAATCGATCTGTAAAACTGAGTTTCTCCACAAAGAATCAAACAAAAGCACTACTTTTATGAGATGTGCTCACAAGTTTCTTGAGAATAAGTCATTCAGCATACAAGAAGCACATAACAACTAATAAACTAATGACGTATTAGTTGAAGACCAAAACGACGATTGGCTGACTAATTGAGGGGGCAGCCCTAGTGTAGTATTTATTTCCCATTTCTTGGGGAAAGGAAAAACAAGCTAGTATAGTCATAGTCTCATAGTATAGTCACAATCTTCAGCCATTTAATCAATTGTCATTATGAAACATATTGATTAGTGCAGCTTTTAAATGATTCAAACAAACTGCAGAGGACGTTGATTTAGTTTTGCAATTAAGAGGAAACTGTATTTGTGGACTTGTTCATAGCCTACAAAAACACCTATTGGTCCTACTAATAATCACCACAAGAATGCACGATTACTATAAATACAAACGTGCATGACTGGAGTGTGGTCCAGGTGTTCTATTTTTTAATCTGAGTGATTCATCTTATTAATAGACAATCTTTGGCATACCTATTAAAACAAATTCCTGTCATAATTTGCAACATACAGCCACTGTCACCTCCATCATCTTTATAAACCATCTTCGACTGCTTTCAGCTCAACTATAATCCATCCTTTGATATAACCTCAAATAACAAAGACTTCCCCCCCCCCCACTCATTAAATGCTGAGCGGAGTTTGTGTGCATGTTACCATAACAGCCAGTTTAATAGGCCTGCAACATAGTCATCTAATTGTTCTCAACTTTCTTCCCACTGCTGCTGGAGAGAAAAAGGAGCCATTCAGTTTGTTACATCTGAGATGTCTGATGTAATCTGTGATTTTTTTTTATCTAAGCTTTTGTGTGACATGTTTGGACAAGAGAAGATTCTCAAAGGTGTTTGTCTACACATTTTGGAATGAGGAAAGAGGAGAAGAAGAGAAGGACGGTTGTACTAGAAAAACCTGATCGGGACACTTGTCCGATGATCGTGGGTAAAGTGAAGAAATCAATTCCCAAGATGAGAACTGTAAAGTCAAATAAGAAGATTACATTTCCCACATCAAACAGCAACTCCACCTCTGCAAAGGTTACTACATGTGAGACATCAGGAAATGTATTGAGGCTTTGTGTCAATCTAATGCCTGTTCTGGCTGCAGCCAAGGAGCCAGATGAGGAAGAGGAGGGCAAAGAAGACAGCTGCACAAGTAGAAACCAGAAACTGGCTGCAAAAATGGCCCACCTGTCATTAAATCAGTGGAACAAACACTCAAGTCTCTCATAGGATTAAATTCTGACACCAAGCAACCACTAAGTCCTCGGTTTGTGCTGCCACCTTTAACTCTATCTAAACCAGCTCCTGAGTGTTGTGACTGTTAGAAGAGGTGCCACACACCTCTACCTCCCATCAGTTTATCTGAGCAAACAAGGATCATCGCTTTAACTTTAGTATAAAAGGCTGTGGAGGCGATAGGTCAGTTACAGGACAAGTACCAGACAACATGCCCTGGATAGACAATCCTCTGTTCTCTAAATGTGTAAGTAAATTAATATGATTTTTGCTTTATCGTTAAAGACTGATTACATGTCTTTAGAATCCTGAGGTTGAAACAAAGCTCTGCTCTTATAAAAGTGTTTCATTTTCAGTTAAAAGGACAGTTAAGGAAGTTAGGTTTAATACCTTTATTGGAAACCAGGAGGACTTGCATCCTCATGAACTGGTTTGGCACAGCTACAGTGGCCTTAAGAGGAAATGATTGAGTCACAAGGAAGAACACATTAGCCAAGTAGCCAAATCAACAAGGCTTTGGGCAATAACAAGAGTTTTTAAAGTTAGAAATGTCAGCACCTTCCTGAAAATTGACTGAGTCACTGGTAATGATCCAGAGACTACACATATAAATAAACAAATAAAAATCTTCTTTATTGCCCGTTTAATTTGTTCAGTGAGTTAAAACAGAAGCTGAAGATATCAAAGTCTTTAACATGTTTTACTCTTTAAATATTAAAGGATGCAAATGATTTTATGCCTCATTATTTGCAAAGTACTGCAAAGCTGATGAGTCCCTGAAGCTGTGTTGAAACGTTTCAACTGTAAATACCTGAAAAGGAAGCATAAAATGTCTGGTTGAGGCTCTTTATCATGTTTCAGATGTCTATGCGCTGTTAGCAGCTCTACCAAAGAACAACTTCCCCCCCCAGACAGCTGTTTGAGGCCCCAAAAAATGTATAATCGTCAGTATTTCACAAAAGAAATCCAAGATTAGAGCAAAGCCCAGAAAATAAAAGCAAATTTTAAAAGCATAACTTATTTTTTTCCCCTTCATGCCGCATTAAAACCACTGGACTTACCTACCTGTTGCCTTTTGTAAATAAAGAAGTTCAAACTAGTTCCACCTCGACCAACTGCAACAGTAAAATGCTAATAATAAATCTGTCACAGTGGACATTTATTCTGCAGAACGAGTACTTTTACTTTTGATACTTCAAGTACATTTTTATTAACTCTTAAGTTATGGAGTAATTCCACATTGTGGTATTAATACTACTACAGTAGAAGATCCGAGTACTTCTTCCACCAGAAATACAAAAAAACTGAAACAGGATAATAAAATATATTTTCACTTCCAAACAAAAGTGTCTCACACCACAGATCAGTCTGACTCTCCTCTCGTGTTCTCCAGAGATCTCCTGAGTTTCGTCTTCCCGACATCTCCTTGTCCAGTCTGGACGCTCTGCTGCAGACGGTCACACAGAAACTGGGGAGGAAGAGGAGAGGTGGTGATGAAGGACCGTGGAGACGCGTCTGGTCTGATCATTTCCTCCTGGCTGTTAGTGAACAACGTTGGAGAGAGAAGAGCGTCACAGAGAACGGAGACCAGGCCAACATGTATGTTTGGTCGAATATAGAAAGTCCATTATCAAGGTTTCAGTATTTTAAAATTACATTACAGATATGAACAGAGCATCATCCCCTGTGGATGTGGGTTCCTGTCAGACCAGCTATTGGGGAACAAACTGTAAAATCTTGAAGGATTTTCTTTGTGCATTTTATTATTTATTAGTTCAATAACAAAAAATAAAATGTCCTCTTCACAACCGCTGTAGCTGTATTTGTATTCTCCAAATACAGATCCCTTGTTGAATCCATTGTGGGAATGGCGGACCCCGCCACTTACATCATTAGAAGCTATTATATAGAGAGGTGACTAATGATTGTAAACTCATTTAATGTTTTTCAAACAAAGCCATACTTAGTGTCGTGTGAATGAACCCGAGAACGAGACTGGACAGAGGGCCGGGAGGCGGGGTTAGAGGAGATGCTAGTGCGCCTTCCTTATGGGCCCTCTAATGCAGAGGACTGTCAGAACATCCTGACCATCTTGTGCTCAGAAGTGAAACTTCTTTTTGCTTCATTCAATACTGAGCAACTTTCATAGGAATGAATGGGGCGCCGACTCCCTATCAATTGCTCTTTATACATCCATGCTTTGTACTCTGGCAAAACAATTAAACTACTAAAATCTGGGCAATAAAAATGTTCAAATCCTAATTAAATGTTTTAAATATTAGTCATCATTTTTTTGCAGGTGGTTGTAAATGTAAATCTAGAAGTTTATCTATCTGAATGACTTTAGTGTAAAGAAAACAGTCCAGTAAATTTGGTTTCTGTCTCTTTTCTTTGAACAGTAACAGAAACATCAGTGCAGGGTAAACAGACAGAGGATCATCCCTTCACTTTTATCTGCACCAAAACCAATGCTTATCCTTGCTATGACGAAGAAAAACCTGACGTCCAACGTGTTGCAGTGAGTCATCAAAAACAACAAACTAGAAAACATACTTCACAATATGTTTTTTTAAATAATACGTATAGAGTTTTATTTTCCTTCAAGACAAAACATTCACAACAGACATAAACCCGTTTTTCTTTTTCTATGCTAGCATATCTTCAGTATACAATGCACATCTTATAGTAGATGCACAGATACATTCATGTTCAAGTAGAACTTTTCAAGCATAATACCTTAAAAGTACATTTAGTAGTACAGACTTTCATTCCAAAATGACAGTCATTTTAATCTATCTCAATGTATTAGTTCTGCATCATTTCACCTATTTCAATACATTTAACCTTTTTAAATATTATATTGTAACCGTTTGCATTTTGGAATGAAACCCTTCTGATTGTATACTCTCTTCTGATAATTTATGTTTGTCTCATGCCTATTACTATCATAACAATCTTTTAAATATGTAACAGTGCATTACAGTGCAGTAACAACCTGCTTCGAACATTCAGTCAGCTGTGTCATTTCTTTGATAAAAAAAAAAAAAAGAAATACAGTTTAAAAAAACCCAACTAATGACCAAAGGCAATGTTGTTAGGTGTTTGCAGCTCGGACTGAATGGAATAATTAATTCATGGATCAATCATAATTTCTTTGATTTAATTTGGAGTGCTGTAGTTTGGCATCATGTAGAAGAATTTGTAGTAACTCTCTGCAGCTAAAACAGTGTCGAGTCACACCAGTGTGTCCAGACCTTTTCAATGGTTTCATAATTAATGATACATAAATGTGATGTCCAGACCTTTCAAGATCTGTGCAGAACGTGTCAGATTCTTCTACATGTGGCCTACAGATTATGTAATAACCTCCGTTTGGATAGTGACATTGTTACCCAATCACGCAAAATAAATAAAAAAACTAAACAAAACATTGTTGACAAATAAAAGACAAAATAAATTCTTGATTTACAAA